TAGCCTACTTGTTTGAAAATTTGAAACAATCACGCCCCACAGTTTGGTTGTTCTTTTAGTAATTTGATACTTACAAGGCAAATAACACGTGGACTACGTTCCGGTTTTATGTTTGTGTGCAACATGTGTGGTTTTAAAGAAACTGTGTGGTCTGACCTTAATAACTAATCGTCATTGGACATCAACGCAGCAACGGTGACTGGTTCCAGGACGGGTGGAGGCTTTGCAAATTTAACAAAGTTTTAGGGGCCATGAACGTCCGGTGTATGGGGTTCAATACTTACGAAAAGTACAAACATGTTATCTCCAAAGTTTGGGAAAATTCTGCCCTTGCAAAATGAAGATTGTAGCAGAAGAAGAAGCAGTCCTCGCGTGACAGCGTAACGACGTGGACAAGGCGTGCCCTTGCTTACCGTGATGGCAGACGGGAGGTGGTCGAAGAGATGATACAGAACCAACTTCAACTCTGTATCTGGCGTGGTAAGTGTATTATTAGGTGGTGTTTGCGAATGCAATGATAACTTCTCGCCTGCGCTCGTTCGCCTCATTCTCCCGATATAAGACAGATTTAGATGTGTGGGCTTGTGACGGCTACCAAAAAGTAAATGTGTGACTGGCAAAATGTAATAAACAACAAATAATCAGTTCTCTACAAAATACCTTCCTCGATTATTATTATTGGTTAATATGGTATCTTTAAAATACCCCCATCGTATCAAACCTGCCGACTAAGCATATTTCCATTTGTCATAATTGATTTTCAATTAAATCTATTTAAATTTAAATAACATTAGATGTAACGAGTACCTAAGGAAAACTGCAATAAAACATAATATAGAGGGTGATTGGTACTCAGTGTGACAAATTTTTTGTGTGTAAGTAAATGAAGTGTGATGATACATATAACAGGTTCCAAGTCTAAAAATTAGCTTCCCAAAAATTTATTTTATGTTTTTTAAACTTAATACAGCAATTTATCAATTACCTGTATATGAATTTGAGTAGTTATTTATATAGATTTTCATTTTTAATGTACTGATGTAGTATTTACAGTAAAAAATGGAAATTTTTAGATGCCCCTTTTCAGTTTTTTATGTTAGCTGGATATTTTGTAATGCTTAATGATATCAGTTTGGTGGGTAATGTATCTTAAAGAAAATATCCCACCATTCTTCTTAACACTATTCTTCTTATACAGGGTGACTGCCGGGAACCGGACGAATTTGCAACAGCTGTTACATTGTTGCTACACATGCTAGGGAGATTGAGGTTATGTCATTGTTTTGAGTGAGCTTTACCATTTTGGTCACGATGGATCAGTGGTCAGTTCAGCATCGTGTTTTTGCATATGACATTTATTAAAATGACGAATCCGTTATCAAAACACAGCGTATCTTCTGACGCCACTTTAATATTGCGCGAAATGACACGGTTCCAAGCCGAAATACATTGCTAAGATGGGTGCTCAAGTTCAGAACAACAGGAACAGTATCAAAGAAAAAGCCACCCAGTCCAGCAAGAACAGTGAGAACACCAGACAACATCGCCACAGTGAGAACTGCTTTGATGAGGAGCCCGGGTCGCTCTGCACGAAGACACGCACAAGAGCTACGCATGGAGCGCGATTCTGTCAGAATAATTTTAAAATCAGATTTGAAATTTCATCCCTACAAAATACAGGTGGTACAGCAACTGAAAGAGACGGACAATGGACAAAGAGAAGATTTCGCAGTACGTATGCAGGTGTTGTTTACTGATAATCCTGAAGTAATGATGTTAATGAGCGACAAAGCTCACTTCCACTTAAACAGTTCAGTGAACAAACAAAACTTACGATATTGGGCTCCTGAAAATTCATGTAACTTTCATGAAAAACCAATCCACTCTCCAAAAGTAACGGTTTGGTGTGCTGTAGGCCACTTTGGGATAATTGGTCCGTATTTTTTTGAGGAAAATGGAGTCACAGTGACAGTGAATTCTGCACGCTATGTTCACATGTTGGAAACATATCTCAAGCCACAACTTCGGAGGCAAAGAATAAACGTGAAAAATGTTTACTTCCAACAAGATGGGGCCACAGCGCATACTGCCGCTGCATCGATGCGAGTTGTAAAGAAGATGTTCCCTGGCAAGTTGATTTCACGTTTTGATGACGTGCCGTTGCCACCGAGGTCACCAGATTTGTCGCCCTGTGACTATTTCTTATGGGGGTATTTGAAAGCTCGTGTCATGTTCACAAACCACGAACATTATTGCAGCTAAAAGATGCAATCACCGAAGAGGTGAATTTGATTGGACAAGACATGTTGATGAGAGTGCGTAATGATTTTCTCCAGAGGTTGGAAACCTGTATCCAGGTTAACGGCCATCACATGCATGATATCATCTTTTAGAAATAAACCCAAACTAGGATAAAAGGTTCCATAAAACATATGTTTTTTGAAATGCTATGTTTTCACCAATATATATTCAACAATTAAATAATTTTACTATATAAAATAAGGTTGTACTATTCATTTAAAAAACGTCTGGTTCCCGGCAGTCACCCTGTATACATTTAAGAAGAAATGTGTGATTACACATTTTTAATAGTGTATGTGTTGTACTGTTTTATTCTGACAGTTATATCCTCCTGGAATTATGGAAATATTAAATTTACTTAAAGTGAAATTTCAGTAAAATATACATGCAGGCGATTTTTTAATTGTTAAACATGAAATTTTATTTTAAAAAGATTTTTTTCTTACACCTAGATAATAAAGACTATACAAATTAAATTTATGTCTTTGATTATTAGTAATGTTTTTAAAGTTTTAATTAGTGTTTGCATTATTCCTTACCGTACCTAAAAGTAAAAAAATTTATACTTTACTGTCAACGTAACTTTCAATCAGGTTCCCTTTTTAATATATGTGTACATGATTTTATCTATATAAATAAAATTAGAGTTTTGTCTGTACATTGCTCAGAATCATAAACTTTTAGGTTATTTTTACGTTTTAAACAAACCGAAACAAGTCTCATCTAAATTTCTGTCTGTCTTCGTGTCTGTTACGGCCTAAGAGCCATTTTACGCGGCCTTCTCCTGAAAAACTAGAGTACCTATCAAGATCCAAATAATTTTAATGTATTCACTGGATTGGCGAGATTGTCTTTAGCCATTAAAATATGGCGTCACTACTTTGTATATAAAACGACGGACGTTTAAAAACCCGACTTCGTGCAATTTTTGTCAAGTTTTCTCCCAATGTCCAATGTTCATCACTGAATCATCAATGAAATAACGAACAGCTGTACAGATCAATATTATTTTTTCTAGCTGTCACTGATATGTTTACATTAAAGGTTGTTTACAAATACCGCAAACATTTCCGATCACATTTTGAAAGCAAAATCCAAAACCAAGTGAGATTAAAAACTATTTTCCTTACATAAAGGATTTTATTAATCGCAAGTTCAATAATGTGTAAAATGAAATAGAGATTCTATGTGTATAAAATTGCTCTGAAGCTTCGATAACCGGGAAAAAGACCTTGAAACAGTGATGTATAGGGCTGGGAAACTTACGTTTATTAAATTGACGGCGTTTCAATGGCGGTTGTGTAAAGCGTAAAGTGAAAAATCATAACTGCAGAGGGTGATTGTAACAGAGGTTTACGGATGATGCTAAACTCGCTTTTCCAATGTGCCACTTTCGGTTTCTACTGACCCCGGTTGCTACAATCGCTAGACCATACAGCCAATAGGCCAATAAGACTGTATCTTGGGTACATAGCCTACCCAATTATTCATAACAACCTATTCGACGACGATCCTTGATACCGGTACTTTTCCCTAGAATACATGGCCTAGGTACCTACTTAGGAAATCAAATTAAAAACTTAAAAAAAAAACACAACATTGTGTGATTTTGTTCACATTTCCTTCTACAGTAATATTAGCTACATATACCAAACATCGTTAAGAGAATACGTCATATTCTAAATAACAAAAAGCTGTTTGGATGAGATTGTTTGGTTCAAACTGTCACCAAAGTTTTTATATATGTTTTGCTTTTTCTTTATATGTCATAATATTAGGTTTAGATATAATAGTTTTGCCAGCACGTCTGAAAATATGCAAACCAACTGCTGTTCTTTATATAATAAGGTTTCTACTTACTACTCCTATAAGATCCCCGTGCGTAGAACGGGCACACAGCTAGTATGTATATACAATTTGTTGCATTAAAATAACAATTTGAATTAGGTATAGATTGAGTTTAACAAATGATTTTCCCACACACATATAACAAAAACGTACAGTATGTTAGGAAATTCCTGAGTAGTTTGTTTATACTGTGAGTTAATGAATAACACTTGCACCTTACAGAAATTGTCAAAAATAATCGTATAATATAGGTCCTTGGACATTCTACATGCCTCTTGAGTACTGGCATGTTACAGGTTCAAATTAAATTGATTGTAAGTGGATCTAGTAATGGTATATTTCACTACTAGTCACGAAATAGGACTTTTAATCACACTAAAGCTGTTAAAAATATAGACTATATTTCATAGTCTGGTATTTTTTATAATATAAGTAAACACAGCCCTGTAGTCAAGTTGATTTGCGCCATTCCTTTACTAGTAGTGGAATTTACGAGTAAAATTTGGTAAAATATTAAAGCTATAGGAGAATTGAGAATCAGTGATGCAGAATGCATACACAACACGGACCAAGGCGACCTCTGTCGCTTTGTCTCTCAGTTCAGTGGGTTCCCGCCACCCTCCCTTGCGGAGCGAACTATTTTTGTTGTGACTCAACTTTGTGGAGGATTCTAGTTCAAACCGATACTGTCGCTGTGGAGCGCGCTGGCGTCGCCTACAAACTTGCCGTTAGGGGGAGCGTGCCCTTAATAATATAGATTAGTCTGATATCCTGGCCTCTAGGGTTTAAATGGCAAAGAAATTCAAGGATTGAAATTTAGTAAATTTAGTAACAAAACATTACTAGACTACCTATGATGTAGATAAGTGTGTTGTCACTCATGGCTGTTGCCACTGCCATGTTGTCAGGCAGACTAATCCTGGCCACCGACTCCCAACTGCAGATAGCCTGGCGGTAGCAGTAGATCTGAGGTCCAAACAGGTATATATCCTCTCTATAGACACAACAGGGAGCTGAATAGAGGGTTGTGGGCAGTGGTGCACATGTCTCCCAGCATTCTGTATCAGAGATAACCAATATTCCAAAGACGCACAATGTTATAGGTTACACTCATTAGTACACTTTAGTGGGAATAAAATATCATTACCACCCATCTCCCACAGGGTCCATACTGGGTGGCTGAAAAGTAACTTGCACCTCTCCTTAATTTTTTAACTATTTGAGATATTTGAAATTGGTTTGCGGCAACCGATATAAGAAGCTACAATAATGATGATTATTTTGAAAATGTTGTCCTTTAGTGGGGTAAATGGCACCCTAAAACTGATAGAGATTGCTGATAACAACAATTATGGGAAGTTGGGTATTTTCCAAAAATTTTTACTAGCCACTTTTTTTACGCCCTCATCCCCACAATGCTTTTACGAATACAATGCTTTTTAAGGCTTATTAAACGAAATTTTGCGTTGCCATTTTGTTATTAGTGGTCCCATTTTTATTTCCTTTATGCAATTGTTTGGTTTTATCAAGACCTGTAAAATGATACCAATCTCAAATACACTTTCCATTTGAAATTTTTAGCTAACGCGTACCCCAGTGGCCGATTCAGCTTTAGATTGGAGGGGGGACGAGATTAGAGCTGAAGACCCCCCCCCCTCCACATCGTCATTGTCTCCCGCGGTCACGGCAAAACCCTGAATAACCCCCACATCATCATTGTCTTCCGCTCCACGATCGCGGCTAAATCATGAAACACTCCCGTGGTCCTGTAGATATTATCGTCGTTGTCCGCGTTTGCGGCTAAATTCTGATCATCTCCCACTCCCACAGTCACGGTAACGTCATCATCATTTTTGCCGATCGTGACCAAATTTTGTCCATTTCCCGCAGTCGTATGAACACCATCATTGTCTCCGGTGGTCACGGCTAAACCCTGAATAATTACCGCAGTAACTAACACCATCATCGTCTTCCGTGACTGCGGCAAAATTATGAACATCTCCCTCGATCTTGTAGACATTGACATTATTATCGATTATCGTCGTCTTCCACGTTTGCGGCTAAATTCTAATAATCTCCTGCGGCCATGAAGACATCATCCTTGTTTACCACGGTAACGGAAACGTCATCAACATCTTCCACAATCGCGTTACAATTCTGATCATTTGCAGCGGCAGTGTAGGCTATGTCTTTGTCTCCCGCAGTAGCCAAATACTGAATAACCCGCGCAATGAAACATCAGCATCGTCTATCTCGATCGTGGCAAAATATTGTTCATTTCAGTCTGGACATTAGAGGACTTGCTACAAAAGAAGAACAGACTACACCATATTCTCAATGACACAAAACCAAGCATTCTAGTTTTGACTGAACACGTACTGAAAAAACAGAACTACAAGCTACAAAAATTCCCAGCTACTCTTTAATCACCAACTTTAGTAGGGAAGAACATAAACTTGGAGGTGTAGCAATATATTCCAAGGAAACCCTTGCTGATACAGTATCAGCTATTGACATATCGAACACATGCCAGGAGCTAATTTTTGAAGCAGCAATGATTCGCATGCAGACAAATCTGTGCCTGCTGAAATCACACCAAGAAGACACCTCCCAAAGATTTGTAATGAAAAGAAGCCTAAACAACACGGGTCACCTCCATCTACAAAATTGGGAACATGTTTACTCTTCACCCAATCTTGAAACCTCCTACAACAAATTTCATAATATTCTTCAAACAGCACTGGATTATACATGCTCATTAAAGAAAACTAAAATTAGTACAAACAAAAAACATATTAAGTACTACGATCCTGAAGCAAAATACCTTAAAGCCTTAAAGAGAACTTTTTGAAAGCTCTGCAAAAGTTTGAGTTAACAAACAGAAATGAAGACAAAGTAGAAATGATTAATAGAAAAAGGATATACAACATGAAGATGAAACTAAGAAACCTAAAAATGTCCTCAACAGCTAGCTTCATGGAACAAGCTGACCAACAAACCAAAAGCGCTATGGCAAGTAATAAACAAGGAAAGGAAAGGAAAATGTGAAGAGAAAACCCTTACAGAATCTATATATATAAAATCCAATGTATGTTTGTTTGTTTGTTTGTCCTTTATGGACTCCGAAACCGCCAGACAGATTGTAGTGAAACTTTCAGGCATTATTAAGCATTATTCAAGGATGGTTTGTGTAAAGTTTCGTGCAGATCTGTAAAAAGGGCTCCGCCCCAGTGGCTCTGGAGTTTCGCATGTTAACCTTATGAGTACTCATATTTAAATGGAATTAAAGAATCTTAACAGCTTGTTCAACTAAACAATTTGATTCAGTGATGTTCAATAGCATTACAAAGTGAATAGGTTTACCAACAGGGTGCAGCACTATTATTTTTTTAAATTTATGACAACTGCTAATTTGCAACCAAAAGGTGAGTGAGCGTAGCGAACGAACTTCAACCAGGACGTGATTGAGCCATGCAAACGAGCTCATCTTGAAAATGAACGAGCATTTGACATAAAACCACATTAGGACAGGACAACGTCTGTCGGGCCAGCTAGTTAGAAATAAATGGCAAACTCACAAATGACACAAAAGAAATGGCCAAACACTTCAACACATTCTTCTCAAATATAGCAGAAAATACCCTTAACCAAAACAGAGCAATCGTTATAGACCCTGAAACAGTGCTGAATGGAGAGGAACCAGTCTGTACAATACACCTTACCTTAACTTCAACATCCTATGAAGAAGTTAAAACGATAATAAACTCCCTAAAAACCAAAACATTAAGTGGAATAGATGAGTTTTCCTCTATGATGATAAGCACTGCTCTCAAGAACTCATCTCTCCTCTGGTTAATCTTACAAATAAATCATTTAAAGAAGGCAAATTCCCATCTGCCATAAAAGTCAGTAAAATATACCCCCGACGTAGCAAACCTGCCGACTAAGAGAATTTCCATTTGACCGAAGTGATATTCTATTAAATCTATTTATATAACATTATGTTTAACAAGTACCTAGGTTTGCTGCTACAATGAAACTAATAAAGTGTGTTTTGTAGTAAAATATTAATAGCTTAGTATAAAATAAATAAAATTGCCAATTTTAATCAAAATATATATTAACAAGCAAAATACAAAATTTTTCTCCACAAGAATAACATGGGAAATTTTAATTTACAATTTTTTTGGATTTTCTCCGTTACCAATTACGGTAACGGCTGCCACTAATAAGCTGCAAACTGAGGAACCATTAACCTTTTTAATACTTTAATACTTTTTCTTTGAAATGGCGACCATACAAAGTAGGTATTTTAAGCCAAGTATGAATGGAGTTATGTATGGAGTATGATGAGTGACGCGATCTTGTAGTCTTGTTAGTGACTAAGGCCGACATATTCCTTAGACACAGCTGTTAATTAATAGCCCATACAGCTAATGGCGACTAAGGGACCTACAGTTTATAGTGGAATCCGAACCACATTTCTTCCTTGGTATATATACGAATTGGTCTAATTATCAGGATAGTACTGCGGATAGTCGTAGTACTCACCCGTGCGGACGTTGATCCACACAAGGGAGTATCACATCCACAGTGCATGCCTATAAATATCCACAATTTATAAAATTTGTTATAAGATACCTGACCACCTGAGAGACCTGACTGGCAACAAGCTACGCCAGGAGTTAAAGAAGTGGCTAATCGCAAGACCATCCTACTAAATAAAGGATTTTTATGAAAATTATGGAAATTAACACGTACAATTCACTATTGTATTGACATTGACACTATTGTAATTCTTAACAAATGAACAATTTTTTTTTTTTTAGGGTGAGGAAGGAAAATGCTTTTACGCACACAGGTAGCCAGCCTGTAGTGTGAGACTCCTGAATTTATCAGACTACTCACTAAAAAACCCCCTCTGCTATGTTGGACACAGACCTGGAATTGTTTGTCACATTACTTCAAGTCAGGCCAACATGTGACCTAAGCCCACAGGGCTCGCACCGTTTTCTGGCATTATTTATTTATTTTATTTTTTTTTTTGACCTACACCGCATCCCGGTCGAGGTCGAGCTTCTTGGCGCGGAGAACACCCTGGATGTAAAGTGACACACAGGTCCAATTGTCCTCACCCACCATCATCTTCGGTATGACCGTGTCCACCGACAGCAGTCCTACGAACTGTTGAGCCTCCAGGCGGGGCCTTTCCCAATGCTGGCAGTGGATGAAACGAAGAAAGTGTGTTCCACGTCATCGGGAATGCCTGGGCGGTATATGCAATCGGGTGACACGGCTTTGCCCATCCTGAACAAGTACAACACTTTTTCCGGTGTTGTACGACCGGAAAAAGCCGTAACCCGTCAGAAATTGGGTGAGGTAGAAGTTCACCTCTCCGCACTGCCGATTAACCCAAGGTTGGACCTGTTGTATCAGTCGCCTGGTTCAGAGCCCCCTTGTCTCCTGTTCCCAGCTCTCCTGCCACAGCTGGAAGGTCCGGGTGCGTTCTTCAATTCTTGCCTGGTCCTCACCACGGCGCTGATAAATTGCCTTCCTCTCCGCCGCCAAAAGTTTGACGGGGATGACTCCAGCAACCAACAGGACGGCGGGTTCGGACACTGTTCGATAGGCAGATGCTACCCTTAGTGCTGCCTGACGCTGCACTCGGGCGAGCCGCATCCTATATATCTCCTTATTGAGAGCGTCTGCCCAGACTTCCGCACCGTACAGGAGCACGGACTGGACCGCAGACATCAACAGCCTTCTGCGACTGGACCGCGGACCTCCGTCATTGGCCATTAACCGACTAAGGGAAGAAACCATTTTAGCGGCCTTGTCCGCCGTACGGGTGATCTGGTCTCGCCAGCTGAGCTTCCTGTCCACCATGACCCCAAGGTACTTTGCGGCATGAGTGGTTTGGACTTCAACGTTCCCCACCATCAACAATAGGATGGTGTCAATCCTCTTTTTAGTCAGAATCACAATCTCAGTTTTGCTCAGAGCGAGTGAGAGACCATGTTATGCCATCCATGCGTTAATGGTGCGCATGACTCGATTT